TAGTTAGCGCTAGTAGTAGTCTTCGGCGCTGGGCGCCCATAGCCATAGTGGTAGTCTTCAGCGCTGGGCGCTATGGTAGGTGGTAGATAGTAGAGTTGGGAGAGACACTGGCGGAGGCCAGTGGTACTTACCTGTGGCGCCATCGCTCCAGTTCCATCTGCGAGGTACSTGCATCGAGGCACCAACTTCACAGGTTAGTACTGGACACAGAGAGAGAGAGAGAGAGAGTTCTTCTTCTTCCTCTTCTAAGTCCACCATCTCTTCTCACCCTCTCGCCACCTGACTTCTCAGACTACGACAGAGAGAGACAGAGTTGTGACTTGAGACTTGACGACGTTGGATCCAGACTTGACATTTGGGATTCAGACGTTTCGACGAGGAACTATTTGGGCCTGTGCCGAAGACTTGGTGTTGACGACATTCCCATCTTTCCCCTCCTCTTCGTCTCATCCCCCTCTTCTTCGTCTGTGCATGTGTGGGGCTGGCGCAGTCTTCCTGTGTGAAGCGCCAGACCCCATTCACACCATGTAACGATGATGATGATGTATGTTCAGGGCTGCATTGCAATATTGATTGTTCGGATCACTGGCATCTAAGTCTTCCGCTGTGTTATCTTGTACTTTGTATTGAGAGGTCGGTTCTTGTTCTGGTCTGCACGTTGCAGTATGCAACATTCAACCAGACCTCAACACTTAAAGACGGCCTTCGTTTCAGCCTACAGCTCGGAGTTCGGACCCTCTACACTGAAACTGAGTAGACCTGCCGGACAGTACCGGTCATTGGGCTAGACGAGTTGTTTAACGAGCGCTCGCCGCTCATGCGCAGGTCTCCAGATGCCAGAGAAGAGATTAGTCCTACTAAGTCCCGTGCAGGTTTGGCCGCAAGGCCCTATCCTTCATCCACAGTCCTAACACCTAGGACAGAAGAGACTCAATGCAGAAAGAGTAGACAGACAGACGCAGCAAGTACCGTGGGGTAGGTTTACATCCACAGGGTAAGGGGATAGGCTAAGGGCTCAGCGAGATATCACCAACTCCAGCTCGGTCAAAATCTTGGTCAGCAGCTGCGGTCAACGCCTTGGTCAACGCTGAGTCAACGCGGGCAACCCCCAGTCAACGCTTGGTCAACACCCTTGGTCAACGCCCTGGTCAACCCTCTGGTCAACCCTCGGTCAACCCTCTGGTCAACGCCCGGTCAACCCTTCACCTCGGCTATGGCTGCCTTCTTCTCCGGTGTCTCTCCTTCCGCACTTCTCTTTCTCTCTCCTTCGGTCCCTCCTTCTCTGTCCTCCCTGTCTCTCTCCTTCGATACCCTGTGATGATACTTCGCGGCTATGGCCGCTCCCTTCCTCCTCCGCCGGACTGTGCAACTCGCTTCACAGGTAAGTAACAGCCAATCTTGGATTGCTCATCTTTCTCTCTCTCTCTCTCTCTCTCACTCAACCTCCTTCTTCTTCGTGATCCTCTTGATGCAGGTGCACGGCGGCTTCCTCACCCGAAGGTCTGCTATGGCGGACTATCACTTCCAGCGGCCACCTCTGCTATGGCGCCTCACCCTGCACACACGACGCGCGTGGAACAGCGGGTACCTGCTCTGATACCAGTGCAATCAGACTCGACTTATTCACACTTTTCATGCACGTGAACAGCAGAACAACAAACTGGCGACATGCGCCCACACAGAACTCAGAGATATGGCTTCGAAGTAACAGTTCGCTTCCTCTGGCTATGGCGACTGTGCGCCTCAAACAACTCGCTGTTCACACTCGGGATCACCCTGGATGTCCCACACGCGATACTCAGAACACACACTCAGTACACACACTCTGCACCCTACACTACGCTATGGCAGCTATAGCTGCCGCTACCTATCACTATGACTACACTGCTTCACTCTCGCCCACTTCGTCTTCGGGCCTACTGCAGACCTCCTTGCACAAGCTGCTATGGCAGCGCTTCCGCATGGCTTCCGCAGGAATGAATGAATGGCTGGGCGCAGCCTCTTGCKTTATACTTYTGTGATGCGTTGGTCTGCCCYKTATCCCTTGGCCCACGGTGTGCACAGTCCCAGACGGTACTTGCTTGACTGGACCGGACTGGGTGGACTGGGACTGCTGACTGTACGAGGTGGACTGCCACCACTTGACCACTTGCCTCTGCCTAACGTAGGCTGACTCCGAAAGGCCACTTCTAGAACTCTCTATTTTGGCCTTTCGGTACTGTAGCAGCTACGACTTTGCCCTTTCAGGTAAGTAGCAGCTGCGACCTTGACCCTTTGGGCAGTCTACAGCTACGACCTCTAGACTGTCTAGACTCCTACCCGACAGGTCTACAGTTCGAATCTCTTCTACCCTGTAACCTACGAA